CCCGAAGAGTTATGACCGTCTTCAAACATCATGTTTTTACAGTGACTCGTACCGTATAACTTTTTATGGATTGTGGTGAACTGAAAAAACATAGAATATGATAGACTGAGGTCTCACAATGCGCGTGGACGCACAGGGTGACACACGAACCATACACAGAGCTCTATTCAACGCTGTGCGTTCAATTTGCAGCTTCACTTAAGCAAGCAGCTTGTGAATACGGGCGTGAGCAATCTACTTATGCGTTAATACTCGTAGATTTCGTCGGATGCTTCATCTATTTGAAGTGGCAATTTTTGGTGCATTGTTGACTTGGTCTGATTTTATTTTTCCCAGTCAAAATTTAATTTATGTTCAGCAGTGGTTGTCCCATGGCTGAGATGATGATAATGATGATGAATCAAAATTTATTCCATTCTAGTCTTGGTTAAGCTGATGAAATCTTGATTTTTGATTTAGGTTGTGGTAGAAGGAGGAAGTGAAATTAATTAAATTATCACCAGTTTTGAAGATTTATTTTCTATTTTTCAGGCTATTTTTCGTATAGGTAGGCAAGGCTCTGGCTTTTCCAATTTCAACTTAGGTACTTCTAGGACTTATTTGTTCACCAGCTACCAGCGCCTTATACTGATGAGCAAAGCTGAAATAACTTATTTTCCTCATGCGCGTTACTTTTTTGTGCGGTACCTACCGCTTTCTATTAATAAAATTATAAGGTATTAATATTATTCAAATAGTCTACAGTTTGGTCTCATTAATTTGCTCATGAATAAAAGATAAAGTAAAGTAAAAGATACCTAAGTATTTTTGTATTCTCGAAAAAGAGTGTCTACACTCTATAGTTTAGAATTTCATGAAAATGAAATACCAGGATAAATATTATCTTCTATTACATTAACAAACTAACTAGTACTTTTAACACAAAAGTGTGACTAAACCTAAAATGAAAAGGATATTCACAAACACGTTTTAAAACTATTATGTGTCCTAAGCCACATTTAACACTACGTGCAAACGAGCTCAAAGTGAAAGCAGGAAGATAACATTTAGTGCAACATATTCTGAAGTTTACAAAAACATTCGCTAATACGAGTAAAGAAAAACACAAAATAAAGCAAAAACAAGCGAGCAACGCGCTGTATAATCACGAATTTTAATAATTCAACACAGCTGTTTCGGAAACGCGGGCTCTTTGATGAGGCAGCCATTTTGTAAGTCCGCCATTTCGCGCGGTTACGGTTCCCGTGTGTTTAAGCTGGCTGTTTTTAACAAGATTAAACTTATCATTCTCGCTCGATGTTTTCCTCTTGGTTATTTAATTTGTACCTGAATAGAAACTGATCTAACTAAATTAGTTTAATTGAATATGTAGCAATTTCTTTAAGTTTTCAAATTGTGGTTGTGACCAGAACCGAAGATGTCATTTCACAGTAGATTCATTGTAGTAATGTGATTCAATTAGAAAATAATTATAAGTAAGGAAATGTACCTTACCACCATTTTAGCACTCAGTATGAGATTAGACCTAATGTACCTGCCTACTACATTAAATTAGATATCATTAATCGTTGGGTGTGGTCTCAAATTGAAAGAAAGAAAGAAAGAAAGAAAGAAGAAAAATAAAACAAGAGTAAACCGAGCAGTGCCACCCATCACCAACAAGATGCCCACTGCAACGGGACCCCACTCAGCATATGCCGTGGCCCACGGTGACGAAGGCCACGGCCCTGGTTTTCAGTGTGCTCCATGCCGAGTGAGGGTCACAGACCATTGGTAAAATAAATAAAATAGTAAGCTGCATAAAATTGTCTAGATAAACATACATAAATAGTAATATTAGTGCACAGATAAATACAAAAGGCGGGAAATCGGTATGGATGATAAGACTACGTTTATTAAGAATACTAATGAAAAGAATACTAATAAAAAGATAAAACTGTTTGTATAGGTGTGTGTAGTAATGGTAAAGTAAATTATTGTGTTAATGTGTAATATTCGTAAAGAGTGTCTCGACATATTGGTACTGACTACACAATATGGTACCTGCTATCTGTAGTCAGACTAGTCAGTGTCGATTCGAGATTAAAAATAATGCTTCAGTTTAACATGCCTTATTTTAAGTTACTTATTTTAACTGGAGTAGGTATTATTTTTCTACTGAAGCATCATTCGCTATTGTATATTTTTACCTTATTAGACTGCGCGACCTAAAGGAGTGTGCAGATATTACACACAGATTTAGGTTTAAAGCACTTACAAATACTCGTAGCTTGACATGTTTTCGTCACTCATTTTAAATTTCAAGAAAGAAATTACCCGCGTCGCGGTATTTGTCAAACGATGAGTCGACCATTTTGGTTCGGCCATTTTGGCGGGGAACACGAAATGGCGCCGCCCTTTGTCTGTTTTAGTTCCCGCTTTACGCGCCATGTTTATGGCTTGAGACGTCGTAAATGGACTGAGCTTAGGTAGATATTTGCTTAATCCTTGAGCGGTTTGATGACGTGTAATTATAGTGATGTGATGTGTGAGCGTGATAGTGATGAAGGAATTACGAGTAAGATTTAATTTTCGGTGTTGGAGACGAAAATACACGAATCTCGGGTGACGTGAATGTTTCATACAACCAAGATGATTATTTCATGAAATAAAGTAGTCTGAAAAGATTTGCTTTTAAAAAGGTACTTTGAATGCGTTAGTCCGATTATCTTAGATTAAAGAGAAATGTAGAAGATTTGTTTCTAAAAAGACAGGTAATATAAATCCGATATTCTAAGAGAAATGTAAGGGCTTAATTAAAACACAAATTACTTCAATGATTAAAACAGATAAAACGTACCTAGTTCCAAAAGTTTCGGCTTTCCAAACTAAGATAGTAAGAAGTAAAATAGGCCTACTCATTTTAGAATATTGAAAACGTTCGTGATTCTGGATAAAATTCTAGTCATTGTGTAAGACTTGCCCGAAACAAGTTTCGAAACCAACTGGTTTGTTTTTTGTGATAATTATGATATGTGAAAGGAGGCACACGAGCAGACGGATCACCTGATGGTAAGTGATTACCGTCGCCCATAGACGTTTGTATACGTATTTGTATTTTAAAATGGAATTAAGATTGTAGCTACAGAAAAAGACACATGTCTGAATATAGAGCCTTATTCGTATTTTATTAAACTATCCATCTCAGAACAGCTGACTGTACAACGACAAAAACTTTAATCGAACACATTACCGACCTTTGATCCCAAACCTTTAGATCGTAGAAACCCAAATCTCAGAATCAATCAAACGGCTCACATACACAAAGCGTGTCGCAGCAAAAATCCTAAAAAGGATGGAAATGAGTACCGTAATCTATTCTGTTTTTTGATAAATCGCACAAAATAAACGTATCTAGATGTCCGTGGACAGGCACACGACAAATGGCTGAGTGATCTTCGTGCTTTGTCATTTTGGGAGTCCCCGTGTTATCTATAAAGTTGTGGTGTGACCACACTTTGGGAAGATCAATGGATGTTATTCTTAGTGGCAAACTATTTTTAAGATAGATTGATGCTCTTTTTTCTGCAACTAGATATCACAATAACTAGAAATCCTTAGGGCAGGCTTTCCAGCAGACCACGTCATTTAGCTGAAAGAACGAATCGTTAAGCTCTGTCTTTGAAATAACCTGGGATTTTTGCTTTGTTTCTAAAACACATTTAAGGATAAACGGGTGATATCCTAAATTATAGAAAAGTAATTAAAATGAAAATTTACTTTTTAAGATAATCAGTAAAGACACCAATTTATTTAGAATGATTTTACAGATTTTCTCACAAATTTACTCACCTTCACTGAAAAAATAACTTTGTCCTCTATACTCCTGAACTAAACATACGGCATGGACTCCCTAGTTCATGGGGATGCCTGATTCGTCTGTCAGGGTTCCGTCCAGCGATGATTTTTTACAAGAAAGGGTCGAATGAGGGATTCTGATTGCGTACATTCAGAAAGATGCTCCTTTTCGTTCTGCGAATATTTTTGTGTTTCAAATAAATTCACAGAATTGGCGCTGTAAGGCGTTTTAGGAACCTGATCTTTTGTTTCATTTGACACCGGTCGAGTGACTTCTAAGAAATGGGTAGGATTATTGTACAAGTTTGGTTGATGAAAACAATGTAAATTAACAACATTTGTGAAGGAAAGATTTGGAGAATTTTATTAGGATTATGGTGTATTTATATACGGAATTAAATAAATAAATAAATTCTTTAAAATAAATAAATTCTTTATTGAATAACTTATTGACAGTTTTTAACAATAGGCTAATATTAAACTATAATAGGTAAAAGTACATACGTGCCTGAACTAAGAATTATAATTCCTGTATCTCAGGCAAAAAAAGGCTTACATTATTTTATTAATAGAACTATTTCTAGCAAAATATATAATCTAATATTTATACATAATAATATTTAGTTAAAAATTAAAATCTACACAAGTTACATTTAAGATTTAAAATCAATACAATGTGCTACATAATATTGCTTGTTCTACATACTTTATTAAAAAAATCCAACATACAGTGTCTGCGTAAACAAAAATAATAAACTGGGTCACGCTCAATGTTGCAAAAATCATACAAGTTATTTATGTTTACTCTAGATATACTTAAATGCAATTCGGTTTGTTAAGGTAGATTTGATAAAAGGTTAGTGGGACAGCTCTATGATTAATTATGGAGTTATCTACTAGTAGGTACTAATGGTAAAAGTTTATTTATACAATCTAGGTAGTAAATTAGCTAATGATAAAACTGACACATCAAGACAAACATAAACTCGCAGGAGACGCTCTTATGCGCCTTCGTAATCTATGGTGTTAATATATCTGACGGCGCGTTTCCATTTTTAATAATATTCTAACAATTTAATTTAAGCATTGAGTTGCAAAAATAAAAGTAATTCTATTGATTTTTCTGACACTTAGGTTACTGTCATATTATGATAATTAGATTTTTATAATTTGATTGCATGCATGTAATAATTTTGATTTTGTATTATGATTCCAAAATAATTCTCTGTATTATTAAAATAAGCTCAGTTATAAAAGAAGTCGCTAAACTAAGGAGGGACTGTGTAGTCCGCGTGGGCTTGCGAGTTGCGTCAGCGTGCGTAGTGGGGGTGTAGTGGGGAGGCTGCCTTAGTAGCAAATCAAAGCCCGGTCGTGCAGTTGTGCTCGAGACGTCGCGCTGAACGTAGCTCGCAATTCTACGTACTCCGTAAAGTATTCACATTGTTATTCTGTTCAAACGAATAATCGTTTTTTTGTGTGAAGTGTTTCGGGTCTTATTTAACAAACGCTCCTTCCCGCCTATGGACTCGCATGAGCGTAACCACCAGCTCGGAAATCCTTCATATCTTTGTTCTGCTAGTTTCTTAGCAGGGCACTCAGCGTCACCTGTCTTGTGATTGTTGGGCTTTTTGAAGTGCAAGCAGGTCGCACATTTTGAGGGTTCATCCTTTTTATTGCAATCCTTTAATACGTGACCCACTTCTCCGCAGTGGCCGCAGGTGATATTAGCTTCACGACAGGTCTTAGCAGCGTGTCCATACTGCTGACACTTGTAGCACCTTGTCACTAGGGTAAAGTCTCTAACAGGGCACGACAAATGTATACGTTTCAGGTTTAAATAAACTGGAAACTGTTCTTTTTTATGCAAGATAAGGCAGGTATTTGACCGCAATAACATCTGGTGTTAAGTGAGATGCAGTCTAGGATGGTACATATCTGCCCTGTAAGTGCCTATTTACTTTCGCCTTGAAAAGGCCCGGATTATAGTGTCCAGGAAAGACAGCAGCAGGCAGTGATATCCAGTCCCTAGCTGTTTGCATTATAAAAGAGTCATCGAAACGGTCTGAATTTCCTTGAAGCGTTACAACATTACGATTTTCGCGTAAGGTATCATTTTAAGCGTTACTTTGTTGATGTTTCCAAAAATAGCTCTTTATGATAAAATTGTAAGAAAAATATGTCGTAAAGTTCGCAACAAATACGAGTCGAATCCGAACAAATGTTCAGTTGTGTATTCAAATAAATTCATGGAATTGGCGTTGTAAGGGTTCTTTCCCACGGCAATCCAGCTTGCGGTATACAGTAATGCAGGATCCGCAAAACTGGACTGGTGTGTGAACACACATGAAATGTGTACCTATTCAAAATTCGAATCACAGAACGATCCGTTTTTTATGGGAGATTGTAAATGAATTGTTCGTGTGAACTTTCATACGAGTATTATTATTTCTATGCCCGTTTTCACCATCAATCCCTAGTTTTAAGTGACCCCTTTGAAAACAAAATTCCTGTTACTTATGTGTTACCATAGGGGTCACTTAAAAATTAGAGATTGATGGTGACAACGGGCAGTAAACTACTAAACGGGATTCTGCAAAAAACGGGATGTCTCCGAATCTCCGTGGGAACAAACCCTAAGGCTTTTTAGGAACTTGCTTGTTCTTTTCTAGGAAATGTATTGAAAAAGTTTTATTGTTAAAACAAATATTAATATTTAACATTTGTAAGTGATTTTTGATTTGGCGATATGGGATCAGGGTAAATAAACAATTTATAATATATGTAATGTTAACTAATCTATATAATAAAAATGAATTGATGTTCGTTAGTCTGATTAAAACTCGAGAACGGCTGAGCCGATTGAACTGATTTTGGGTTTAAAATGTTTGTCGTAGTCCAGGGTAGGTCTAAACGGTGAGCAAATACGCGCGCGATATTTTTTTTCTGTGACAGACAAAATTCCACGCGGGCGAAGCCGCGAGCGGAAAGCTAGTAATACATAAACGTGCGATAGGTACGCGGAAAACGCTTATTTTGATATGGCTTCCTCGAAGCGTCATAACAATAACGGTTTTTTCAGGATCTGTTAATACGTTTCTTGTTAAAAAAAGGTCAAAATGTTATACACAAAATTCTAGGAAAGATATTTTATTTATTTATTTTATTTTGTGTCATTATTTTGTCCTTTACAAAGACCAATCGTATATGAACGTACATATGAGGAAAGTATAACATAAAACAAACTTGCGTTTGACGAAACATACCTACAATACCAACCTAGGGCTGATTTACCATCGTTGGATAACTTTTAACTGAAGAATAAACTTTCATTTTGACATATTTCCCATACTGAAACTGTCAATATGCCAAACTTATTCTTAGTTAAAAGTTATCCGACGATGGTAAAATCAGCCCTCAAAGAAACCCATACCACATAGAATTAAATAACTTTACATCTGTATTCATAACAACTCTCGAAAAAAGTACAAAAATAAACTCATCAAAAACAAAAACGAGCGCGACATTTTCTTCAAACACTTGAACCAACCAAATAAAGAACAGACGACGGCACTTCAAACAAAACTGTGGCGTCTTATGCAGTCCTAATAAGTTCTATTTTGCTGTAAAAATGTAATCTTGATGTGCGACTGTACGTTTCATTTTCAACGCCCAAGTTTCATGCACAGTTCATAATAATCCACGGTATAAACGTCTCTCGCCGGAATATGAGAGTGAAAAACCACAAAGTAATCCGCATGTTTTTACATACATTAAAAACGCCGTCGGGGAATAATCGGATGCGTTCTTGTACAATGGAAGTTTGAGTAGTAGGACTTGAGTTATGTCACCACACTTCATCACTGCAACTCCTGTATGGCCAAGATCTACAGCTTGGCCTCCAATTAAACCCAGTGATGGTCGAATAGTCACGGGAGATAGCTGTCTTGGAACCCGGAACGAATTTATTTAAAATCAAAATCAATATCAAAATTATAAGAATGGGTATACAAAATTGCGTGGTATATTAAACAAGGTAGTAACGTGCTAATATCTAGACTTACAGTTTAAGATACTTAAATACTAGTAGAAATGACTCGCATTAATAAATTTGAATAACTTGGATTGACCTATACATTGACATATACTTTCGCAATAAAATATGATGATTTTGGGCTCATAACGATTTATTCTTACAATGAAAGGTATGTCCTTCCCTTCTTCTATCTAGACCCATTTGCCTCTAAAGTTCGTCGTCATTCAATAGAAATGACTCTACTCAGTTCTGAATACATTATGTAACTTATGACACGGATATGTGTGGAGAATTTTATGTATAACAATGCAAGGTTTTTCCTTGCACTTTTAATAATGGAAGTGTTTGGTGCAGACTGCTGTTTTGTTTGATATTTTAAGCATACTTTTCATCAACTTTAGGAAGATGAATTTCGAAAATGAAAGTTTTAGTTTTACTTTTAAATAAACTACATCGTACTTGATTACAGTATCTGGAGATTGACTAAGCGTTATTTTCTTTAAAAAACTACAAGTGCTAGGAGTCTCAAATTTCGCAATGGGGTTCTATTTAGAACGTAGGTGTTCACTAAGACGGGAATTTGCAAAATTCAACCCTTAAGGGGGTAAAACGCGATCCACGCGTACGAAGTCGCTTGCGGCCGCTAGTAGAAAGGTACATATTTATGTAGTTCTTTACAAATGGAATGATAAAATGCTTAAAACATTTTCAAAGGCAGAATAAACAAATAAATAAGTACACGTAAAATAAATAAGCAAAACGTCTATCCCTAGTCTAAGGTAAACATTTTACAAATATCAACAGAATTACTGTTTCAAATAAGAAACAAAACTAATATAAGACAAACGTGCTTCCCTGGAAAGTCTAGTTCTTTTTACCGGCAATAATGTAGACTAAACGCTCTCTAGCTGCTGCACTTTGTAGGATCTTCGTAATAACATTTGATAAAGTACCTTTCGTGAGACATTAGAACAAGAAGCTTAGAATTTTCGGTATTTTTCTTGTATCTTAGCTGGAACATGAAGATACGCTGAGAAATATCTACATTGTTGCATTGTGGCCGTTTTTGTAGAAGTGCAGTGTCGTAATATTAATTTATTTTTATTAAACTTTTGATTATTTACTTACTATTTTTAGATAAAGTTACGAGTACGTGCGAGTGATTAACTTATTGAGTATTAAGCTCATTAATCGATTAATGAAAACTTAATTTAACTTTTAAATGACAAAAATAGTTCAGCGATAATTTAAAAAAGTGACTCTCAAATACTCTCAAAACTTAAACAATAAGCCTAGGCACAGACCAACGATTTTTCATCGGCCGATAGTTTAGTCGGGCAGTTGATCAGTATGGGCATGTATGGTAGTGCGCACATTACACCGATTCGATTTGGCCGATTCTTCACACAATTTAAAATCGGGCACAACTATCGGCCAACCAAAAATCGATGGTGTGCGCCTACTATAAATCCTCTATGATAATAATACACACAAACGTACTTATTTTTTATTGTTCTATCCGTATCTACTGCATTTCGTCTGTCACATGCAAACGGTGGTCGTACAACAGCTTTTGTGCGCTTGCATAAATGCATTCCGTATGCAAATAGACTGTTAATTGCTGGTTGGGCTATTTCGGTGTTTGTTTTATGTTATGCGTTAATATTTCATGGTATTTGCTTTGGTTTAATGCTATAGAATTATGGTAATTTGTCTATGTACGAGTATACAGGGTGAAATATAGCCTTTTTATGGACTCTTTCATACTACATAATAAAACTACATAATTTTAGGTACTCTTTTACCGAAATAACTTATTTATTTATGTTTCCCATAAAATAAATAAATAACGAACTGGAAAACAATAGTTTACATACCAACTTTGGCTGAGTTGCACCAACTTACTTTAACCGTAACTATAACAATGACCGGTGCTTTTGTGTATGGAGTTTGACAGATTTTTACAGTTTGTTAAAGTTAAAGTAAGATGGTTCAGTCTTAATATTATGGTGTAGGTATCTAAGAACACTAATTGCTCAAATTGTTATGAGGCTTAAGGACAGTACATAAATGATTTTAATTATTCCGTCTCAACTTCATAATTTTGAGGTCGTCTATCAAATAAACATGTTACACATGTACGTACATAAATTTCACAATGCCTAATGTAATGTAAGGTACTTGATACAAATAAGGCCTACGTTCTAATAAGGCCTATACATCAGAAAACACAGATAAATAAATCCTACCGGGATAATACTTCAAGGACACGTACTCATATGCCCTTTAACCCAGTAGAGAGCAAGAGCGTTCCAATCCACGATCCCAGCACCAATTGGCATGCGTTCTTCTAAGGTGGTGGGTGATTTCGTGCTATCTTATAAAAATTCGGC